CGCTGGGCGGGCGGCTGGCGAGGGAGCACTTCCTCTGAGCGGTCTGCTCAGCTCCCTCGCGCGCCACACACTGATGCTGGGAGCCGGGTTGATGACGTCATATTCCGGCTCCCAGCCTCACTCTGCGGTGCGCGAGGGAGCTGAGCAGACCGCTCAGAGGAAATGCTCCCTCGCCAGCCACCCGCCCAGCCCCGCAGCCACTGGACCACCAGGGAGAAAGAGGAACCCCCCCCAAGCACTCCCAAAGGTAAGGAGGCTGGGGGGGGTTAAATAAAAAGAAAAAAAAAATTGATGTGAGTGATTGTGTGTGTGTGTGTGACTGTGTGTGTTTGTGTCTGATTGTGTGTGTCTGACTGTGTGTGTGTTTGTGTCTGACTGTGTGTGTTTGTGTCTGACTGTTTGTGTGTGTGTCTGACTTTGTGTTTCTGACTGTGTGTGTGTTTGTGTCTGACTGTGTGTGTGTGTTTGTGTTTGTGTCTGACTGTGTGTTTGTGTGTGTGTGGCGGAACCAACCTCGCCACTATGCACTGGAGAAGCCTGGTTGCCAGCCTCCTGCCATGTGACTATGGCCCCTGGGATGTATTGCCCTTTAAAGACATGATTTGGGCATAATGGATTTGTGTTGTGCTGCTGCTAGCCCTTTTAAGAACCATCTGGGGACATACTGTGGAGTTACTGGGTGGCCACCATTTCCAGAGGCACATGGTGAGAACAATGGATGAAGCACATGGTGAGAACAATGGATGGCGGCTATTTTAACTCACAGACACTGTTTGGACTTTTCAACACGGTGCCATCTCGCCAGTATTTGGTGCACAGAGACATCGTGCAGTGGTTTTGGACTATACAACAGGGGACACATTATACAGTGATTGTTTTTTATTTAGCCTGTATATGTTCTGCAGAATCTGCATTAAACTGTATTTTCCAAAGTACTGAACGGATCTGGGTGAATTTTGGATATGTGGTTCACCCAGATCCCCCAGTTCCAATGATATACTTTTTATGGGGTTATTGCATGTTTTGGGGTCCCTGTGATGTGTTTTATGAAACTGTATTTCTCTGGCTGTGATAATTAGATTACCCATTGTGTTCAGTAATCATATCACAGCCAGAGGGGAGGATTTTGTGTGGGAGTGTCTGGGTGTATTGTATGGATTGATTGGCTGTTTTGTAACGCCCTGTGGGCTGTACTATGTTTGTGGATTGGGAATAAAAGAGACTGTATGTGACAGTACAGGGAGTTCCTGTTTTAACCCTCAAAGTGAAGTGTCGTCTCATTATTGGGGGAAGGATTTATTGTATGCTGTTCCAGTTTGACTGCTAGGAGAGTAAACCTATTCGTATAGTGTCTACAGCATTCATATGCTTGAGAGAAGGTATACGAAGGTATACGCTTCTCTGGTTCGGTGATTTTGGGGTCTGCCAGAGTGCTTGGAGTCCTCAGGAAACGCTAGGAGCATCCTTTAACGGAGGTACCCAGTCGGGGTGCAAGGTGATCCGTTACATTGGTGGCAGCGGTGGGATGGCGTCCTAGTGCGAGGTAAAGCAGCTCGGAGACACAGTTCGTGGATTTACAAATTGAGGGCAACGCTAGTACCCGTACAGCGACCCTATCTACAAAAGAACTAACTTCAGCAGAGCAAGCATGGCGTATGACTACACTCAGGAGGAGTTTGACAGAGAGGTTAATGAGGTGCTGTCTACCTTTGGACCCAACCCCCCAGAGAGAGCCGTGCAGCTCGCCAGGAAACTAGTAGGAGAATACCTGCAATCTCTAGTAGATTTGGCCAAAAAGGAGTCCCAGGGATCCAAAGGTGTCGTCCTTCCTCCCCAGCGGCAGTGTGTACCCCAGGGAGCAGAAGGTGTTGTCCTTCCTCCCCAGCGGCAGTGTGAGTCCCAGGGAGCCAAAGGTGTCGTCCTTCCTCCCCAGCGGCAGTGTGTACCCCAGGGAGCAGAAGGTGTTGTCCTTCCTCCCCAGCGGCAGTGTGTGTCCCAGGGAGCCAAAGGTGTCGTCCTTCCTTTTTATGGGGTTATTGCATGTTTTGGGGTCCCTGTGATGTGTTTTATGAAACTGTATTTCTCTGGCTGTGATAATTAGATTACCCATTGTGTTCAGTAATCATATCACAGCCAGAGGGGAGGATTTTGTGTGGGAGTGTCTGGGTGTATTGTATGGATTGATTGGCTGTTTTGTAACGCCCTGTGGGCTGTACTATGTTTGTGGATTGGGAATAAAAGAGACTGTATGTGACAGTACAGGGAGTTCCTGTTTTAACCCTCAAAGTGAAGTGTCGTCTCATTATTGGGGGAAGGATTTATTGTATGCTGTTCCAGTTTGACTGCTAGGAGAGTAAACCTATTCGTATGGTTCCTATTCAACTGTCTACAGCATTCAAATGCTTGAGAGAAGGTATACGCTTCTCTGGTTCGGTGATTGTGGTGTCTGCCAGAGTGCTTGGAGTCCTCAGGAAACGCTAGGAGCATCCTTTAACGGAGGTACCCAGTCAGGTGCCAGGTGATCCGTTACAGTGTGTGTGTGTATTTGTGTCTGACTGTGTGTGTGTTTGTGTTTGTTTCTGACTGTGTGTGTGTGTGTGTGTCTGACTGTGTGTGTGTGTGTGTGTTTGTGTCTGACTGTGTGTGTGTGCCTAGGGCAGCACAAAACCAGGATACACCACTGACTACAGGGCCTACAGAGTCGGCTCTTAATAGGCCAGCACCCCACCAGGACCCTGTTTAGGGAGTAAGAAGAAGGGGGGTACAAATTATATATATTATGCTGGTAATCAGCACACACAATCTGATATACATTGTCAGATTGTGTGTGTGATTTCCCGGATATTATACATGATTTGCATTTGGGATAATTAAAATGTTAGCTTCTAGCTGTGGTATAACTATGTGTAAGCACAACATACAGATGTTTTATCAGCCCATGAAAACTAAAAGTGGTAGTCAGCGGTTTATAGAATGGATAGCTATCTACATATTATTGGATATCAAAGTTTAAAAAGGTATTAAAACTACTTTACTGCAATTCTTTTTTTTTTTTCTGAAAGTAGAAAAGTAAGACATGAGTAAAAGAACATACAGGAGAACTCCCTGTGAAGCCGTATGAATGAAACCCAACCGAATAAAGACTAAAAGAGGTTTTCCGATTTATCTTCTGTAGTTTATATTTCTAATAAAATCTTTAGTGCTAATCCATTTTTTTGTTTTTTGAAGAATAAAGAGAAGTTTTAAAATTGAACATCTGTCTGTGTCTAAAGAGTTCTGATAACTGGATATTGTTACTAATTTTTAATAATTGTAATTTACTATTTAGGCATGCAGTAGTAATACCACTTTCAGACCATGACACCAAAACAGTACTCAGATTTGCTATACAACTTAAATATAGTATATGTCAACCATGGAAGACAGAATCTCATTAAAATCCAGGGCATCCCTGCCACTGTCACGACTGACGAACTACCACATTACCTGAGACGCCTTCTGTCATCGCTCCTACCTCCTGCTGTACTCGAAAGATCGTCATGGATGGCACATCGCCTCCTTACCTCACGTAAACCATCACCCACTCAGACGCGAGATGTCATTCTTCATCTCACGACAAAGGGCAAATCATGTCCCTTTTGAGGACTCACAGCTATCCTTCTGCCAAGACCTAACAAAAGCCACACTACAATGGCGCAAATTCCTCAGCGAGATCACACACTACTTGCGCACAGCCAACATACCATACAGATGGGGACCGGCAAGATCCCTATCCATGACCCACAAGGGAATGACCCATATAATCACCTCAGCAGCAGAAGCACCGACTCTCCTCTCTTCGCTGGGATTATTGGAGCCGACCCCAAGCATGAACCCGCAAGCCTCAACTAGCATCTGGGACCCGGCCGCAGTGGTAACCTTCACTCCAAGGAATGTAGCAAGAAGCCAACCTGACACCTGACTAAGACCGGCGCTGACGCTTCATGTGCTGGCCCAACGAAGGGCTCTGAACTCTGATATTCTTCACTTTTATTTTCCTTTCTTTTATCTCCTTCTCTTATGTTTTCAAAATTCTAACCACAGTGCTGCTACCCTGACAAGGGCCTTAGACCTTCACCCACCATATGTGGGGAACAACTAAATATATACGTTAGCGCAATGAAACGCGCACTTGCTACTAATGCTGTAAAGGCATTTCCCCCCCACCCGCTGGGCAGGTTCGCCTCAACACCTGGAGCTACCCTGACTCATACAACCCCTCTACTTTGACCCATCTACGGCTCAACAGAACCCCACGTTTAATTTTGCCGATCCTGCATAACTCCAAAATGTTAGTAGCCCATACTACATGACCTTCAAACACCTACCATATCACCACTTACAACACTAATTCACTATGTAGAGCCTTTCACCCTAGCCTGCAAAACAATCTATAGCTACTCATAAACCACTCCTCACAAACAGGACACATTCCAGGCTAAGGATACAGTTCTGGTTTATATATATATATGTAAAATAAAAAAGTGCATCTATCCCTTGATGTTATTTTTCTTTGTTTGCACGACCTATTGCTTGAACTAACAACATGTTTTCAGTTGTTCATGCCTTTTATACCTGCACTACAAAAATAAATAATATTTTGTTCCTGTGTTGCAAGTGATAGCTGTGCTTTGCCTCCCGCGGCTCTAGCACCGAAGGGGAACATCAGAGTCTATCATTGACAATACGTTTAAGAGGAATACGCTGATTAAAAAACAAACATATTGGGGGTGGAGCCAGCTGCCACACTGACTAGACGCAAAACGAGAGGGCTCCTGACAAATAAAGCAAAAAAGGTCCTAAAACCTGCTTTTTAAACACAATAACTGAACGCCAAAAGAGAGGAATTGCACTTATTAAATATGGGGCGGAAAACAAAGAAATATAAAGTGGATTAAGTTCCGACAACCGCCGACATCAGAGATCTCCTGAGGAGGCCTCAGCGAGCGATGAAGCCTGTCATGGCATCCCTGTCTGACAGGCTATCCTACTCATCCAGCGAAACATCCATCCCTGACATGGAGGAGCTGGCCGCCATCGCCAGGAGAAAGAGAGCGGACATACCTGCAAAACGGTCTGAGGGCTCACCGATGATGGAGGGAACATTGAAGGCCCTCCTGGACGACCTCCACAGCAACCTAGAAGCTGACATCAACTCCTTTAAAGAGGAGATCAGCGGAGTGTCAAGGCACCTCCATGAAGCATCACACTCCACAGAGGCGCATAGGGATGCAATCGTCCGCTTCCAGAACGGGCCGGACAGGCAGACGCTCCTGATGGCGCTGCAGAACAAAACACCATACGACTTTGAAGGCCACAAGCTCATGTTCTACCCAAACCTTTCCAGGGCAACACTAGAGTGGCGCAGGTCCCTGATATGGCACAATATCCCTTATAAATGGAGCACCCCAAAATATCTACTGATACCCCGGGACTCAGGGAATCTAAAAATTCAAGAGGCCACGGAAAACTGGGACTGCCCACGACTCCAGAGGATACCGACAACCCAAGTGCCGCAACCACACACCTAGAACCCAGCCAAGATTCGCTCATTTGTGCCGGCCGCCAAACAAAGCAATTCTGCTCCGGCAGCTACCTCCTGAAGGACTGGCCAGATCACAATTCCTCTTTAACACAGGACAGTATCCTGCTTTGTTTTTCTCACAACTGTTGTTGTCCCATTGCTTAAATGATGTTATACTTTAACCTTACCTAAACCCTGATGTTAACTCAGATACCCACTGACTCATGATTTTCCATATCTGCTGACTTGAGGGCTACACCTCGTAACACCCTACTCTCCTCTCCCCCCCCCCACCCCCACCCACAGAGCTCACGTTAGGACCACCATGATACCTTGAGGGTGCCTGCATCCTATACATATGGAGCCACACTGACCACCTGGCAACTGACCAGGAGGCATACGGCCTATACCACCTCAAAATACCACTAACTGCAACTACGCACTCTCTCTTGTGATAGACCGACCAAACAATACCATAAGCTATACGACTATGACCCAAGCTCCCGTAACTGAGCAACACACCAACCACACCAAAAAATGCTGTTTCTAACTGCCATGCCTTTGTTTATACTATGTTGATCCCAAGGTACTGCAGTTGCTGTTGTGTCAAGGCAAGTACTGTTGTTATACTGTGCATAACAAAAATAAAGAATTTTTAAAAAAAAAACACATTTTTAAAAAAATGTGTTTCTTTCTTTTCATAAAGAAAGATTAAACAGCCCACTCATTGCAACCAGATCCTCCTATTAATGATCAAAGCCGATGATTTTAGTGCAATAAGTTGCCTCTTCTGCAGAAGCAATTAGGTGACAATGCACTTACTTGTCAATTCCTGCGATAAGTCTTCTCTATGATACAGTAAATCCAATGCCTCTCACCGGGAAGCATTGACATCAAGATACTTTGCAAGCTATGGCCAAATGTCAGATTGATTCAATCATTTGATTAAAGTGTAATTTCTAATTAATTTTTTTCATTTATGAGGCTGCAGGGCGCATTATTGTTGCCCTAAAATTATTTCATTAAGATGAAGTGATTTTGGTGCATTGACTGTTGCACTTATTGTGTTTCCCTCAATGTATGTTAAACTGAGAAATAGGCTTGTAATAACCAATGTTAGCAGAAAAGATAATTGTTGAAACAGCCAAATTAATGTGTAATAACACATAAAACTGAGATGTCAGAAAGGAGGCAAGATATGAACTCCCTGATGCCACATATAGTAAGACTAAAGGGGGAACGCCTAGTAAATGTATAGTAAAATACTACATTAGAGAAAGAGAGATGGAATAAAAAAAAGAATGGGGAAAAAAAAAGGTAAAAACATTGTGGAAAGTAACAATATATGAAACACAGGTGATAAAATAGAATGGAGGGTGACAGAAAACAAAACACCCGTAGTAGAAGGGTAAGTCATTAAAATAAATAGTTCATGCCTATTGAGAAGGGTTGGGAAAAAGTTGGAAAGTAGTTTCTAAGTAGCAGTTATCAGCTCCCAAGGAAAATAATGGGAGCCATGAATCTACTTAGTGCTTGGATTTAAAAAAAAAAAGAAGAGAAACCAGCTAACACCAACATTCATTCCAATGTGGAGGCCACGTTCTCCCACAGCCTGAACTTCTCCTCCCCTCAGTGATTTTAGTGAAAGCAAGCTGAGGGGAGACATGTCGTCTTGAAAGAGGGTAGTGTGCCACTAACGGCTACCTGACATTCAGTGCTGTGTGTGAGGGTGCTGTTTGTATTTGTTTGGAGGGACTGTGAGGGTGGGGGGGGGGACCATTTAGGAAATAGCAAGAGGGACCGTGCTGCTGCCATCCCTGGTGGTCCAGTGGTGAGTGAACTCTAGCCTGCAGAGCTAGAGTTCACTCTCGTGAGATCTGAGTGTTGCCGCGGCAACGCTCTGACCTTGTGAGAGGAACCCGGTGGAGTTGCTGGCTAGAGCTCCCCGAGTCCTCTCCTGCCTCCCTTCCTGTCTGTGGGCCGGTGAGGTAGATGTTTGATCTCCCCACCGGCCCATGGAGGCACATAGCGCGGGCTGCAGGGATAAGGGTGTGCCCAGGCACACCCGGCACACTCCATGCGCACACCTATGATGCCAGATATGTGCAGAACTAACATGTCGTGTACTCAAAGTGAAATTATTAATTTTTTAAGCTAAAATAGCCTAATTGAAGAAAAATAATTCTGCAAGTCAGCTATTGACTATTTTGCTTAAAATTTTAAATACATTTTTTAATTCTTGACAAAGATAAGTATAACCCCTTCCTCTCCCCAGAGCCCGGCGGAGAGGGGGTCCCTGAGGGTGGGAGCACCCTCAGGGCACTATAGTGCCAGGAAAACGAGTATGTTTTCCTGGCACTATAGTGGTCCTTTAAGCGAATTAACCCTAATTCCTGACAATCCAAAATTTGGTGAATATCTGTGACCTTGAATATAAAGTGTAAGCAGAGAAACATAAGAGAACCATTAACCTTTATGCTTAATAACGTTAATATGAACCAAGTAAATGGAGGCTAGTTTAGCCGTACCGAAATCTGTGAAATTGCCTCATACCTCAAACAGATTAGTCATTTATGGCTAATAATATAACATGCTGATCCTATACATGATATCAAAATAGGTTTGTTAGGCAGTCTGAAGTGAGCCCTATACTCTGAGCAGGAACAATTTAAATATAAAAAGGAGAGAGATCTGGATTAATATTCAAGAGTACTTAAATACTAATTAAATGAGTGCATGCCAACAATATCATTATATACAACACCATATATATATTTGATGCATGATGAGAGAAGGGAATGAAACCTATAACAATTTGTGGGGTAAATAGAGACTGTTGTAGAATCTGGCTGCTTGATTTCCCTTTTACACCATAAATGAAGAGCTTTGTTGGAAGAAATCAATCATTTAATGCAAGACCTGTCCTGTTACAATGTAAGCACATTAGGGATTTGCTGCCTATTGCATTAGATTTCTGTTGCCATAACAATCAGCTAGTTCAGAAATTAGGTAAGCAGGTTCTAGTCAAGTTGGTATCTAGCCTACCTTTAGTTTTGAGATCAATAAAATGAGTATCATTATTTTAAGTAATAATGCAATTCGGGCTTTTCAATAAACAGAGAATTTGATGAATGAAAGGCTAACTCCAAGCTCACTTTAAAGTGAGATACAGTCTCCAGGCCCATTGACCACTTCAAATCACTGATTTGTTCAAAATGCCTGGAGTAACTCTTTAGGAGTATCATATCAAGTGGTCAAACCTAACTAGACTTGTGCATGGGAAAAAAAAAACAATAGTTTTGGCTAAAAAGAACAAACATTATGCCCATATCGTGGTTCAGCACATTTGAATTTCAGCATCACAAAAAAGACTCTGGAAAATTAATCAGACGAACCAAAAGGAAACGAAAATTATATACATAATTATACATATTATATAAATATATCAATATTTTGCACTATACGAAGAGATGCATTTTCCCTCCATTTGGTTCACATGTCAAGCAACACAAAGTAAACAATCTATATTTTTTCATTTATTATTATATATTGATTAAATATCTGCCTGTTTAAAAAAATTAAAAAAAAATCAACCTTAAGTTGCTTTGTCCTAGCTATGAATCAACTGTTTTTCCCATCAATCACCATTTTTTATTTTTTTTGCCTCAATTCGGAATTATCAAATCAAACGCACATGCTCCACATTGTGTAGTTCATTCACAGTTCATCTACATTTCAGCTCGGAATTCATACAATCACCCAATTGGCCCAAATTTAGGTGAACTGTAATTCATCACAAAAAGAATCTACAAGTCTTTAAATAGTACTTTAAATTCAGTTTGATTCTTTCCCATTTGAAATTCTTGTGAATAACCCTCTCAGTATTAGATAAATATCACTGCCCAGTTCAGTGAGAATGGAGACATTCATTAAGTCTCATAAGTGACTCGTCCATATTTCTACTTCTTATGGGTATTTGTCAAGCCAGCTATTAGTCTGGAGATAAAGAATTGGAGGTCTCACCACCTCAAAGTCCATCACAATTAAAGCAATACTGCGGAAACTAATTATTTATTATGAAAATTAAAGTTTCTAATCCACTAAATATAAACATTTGAAAGAAAAACCCCAAAACTTTTTGTTGGAATAGCTCTCAAGTGAGCAGCAATTTTCAGCCAAAATATACAACAATTATCTCCATTGAGGAAGTTTAATGTGTCCTCACGGTAGAAATAAAATATCTCACTCAGATACCCAGTGAGACATATACTTTTTCAAGAGATAATTTCTTGCCAAGGTAGACATAAACAAATACCCATCTGCCCCTTGTTTAAAATAAGTCTCAAGTAGCTTGAAGTTGAATTAGAGAAATAAAAAAGCCATATGTATATTGACCTTATTTTTATACAATGATAATAAAGGGTTTATACACTTTAAAAAAAAAAAAAACTTACGGTCAAACATGATCGTTTTGCAAACTTGAAGTCAACGAGGTAAAGTTAGAAATACAGTTGTAAATCCAACACATCACAACGCCAAACTAAAAAAGGATGGTTTAATTATATGTTGGTATATGTAATGCATGCTTTCAGGATTGTGCAGGGGCACAAACCCAACCATAGGGATGTTTAAATGTTGCCTCCTGCTTAGTGTATTGGACATTTATTGAATTAGAATCGCTGGCTGCAGTTTTGTGCTAATGGCCATCAAGCTCACGGCATTTCAGGCTTTCATGATGTCATGTTTTTTAAATGTAAACAAAGTTCTGAGAGCAGTTATGGTGCAAAGCTGATTCTTTGTTATCAGAGTTGGATAGCATTGCGACTTGTTTGGATATTATAATTCTCAACTTCAGAACAAATCAAACATGAAGGGTAAGAAGAGTCGAGAGAGTAAAGAGAAGGGGTCAGAAGGAGGAAGAAAAAAGAAGAGGAGAAATGGCTCTGACCAAGAAAGTTGGAAGTCAATTTGGAAAACAAAGAGAGTTTCGGAAGAAGAGGAGAAGAA